GTGTAGTGGAGGTGAAAGGAGGTTTTGTGTCGGGACTTTGTGTGTGTTGGGCCCGGGGTGGGGGGGGGGGGGGGGGGGTGTGGGGGGGGGGTGGGGGGGGGGTAGGGGGGGGGGGGGGGGGGGGAGGATTACGTGGCTCTGAATGAAGTATATTGACTTTTTCATTGCTGTCTTTATAGAATAATGACTAAATATCTAGAATTCTTGGCCTTCATAGAGCAACAGTGTCTCGTACTATTTATTAAAATGTCGAGACGAAAGTTACTAAATTAATAAATAAAAAAATTGTAAAGAAAATATCCATGAATTATTCAGGTAAAATTTTGCACAGTAAATATTTTTCTCGTGTTCTTGGTGCAAGCTCTTGTAAATGAAGTAAAATAACAAATCGGTATCGTGAGAGAAGAAATTGAACTCTATTATTTGGAGCGACGAAAGCAGATTTACGGTATATAAAAATGACGGACCAGGGCGCGTCTGGGAACTCATGATGCCTGGTGAACATGAAATTTGGGAGTGGTTTTTCGGGAAAGATGGTGAAAGCAGAGACTAAATAAGAGTCACTAGTTGATAGAGTCTTTGATAGGAAGGTTATTTGTTTCAAGGTGACAATGCCTGAAAAAATTGTTTGAAATTTGTACACTACAAACAATATTAAAGTATCGCCCAATTGACCAAGTTAGTCACCTGACTCGAATTAAATTTAACAATCATGGTCAAAGTTGGAGAGTAAAATGATGTCCAAGGAATATGAAAAATGTTAGATCCCGCATTCATGAAATTTGATCGAGGATATAATCTTTACTTTATTTGAAATTTCATGTATGATTGTTTTCAACAATTAATTTTGATCATTATTTTTTTTTTAATAAAAATGTTAAAAGAGATGATTCTGCTACATAATAAATGAAATGTTTATGATTTCTTTTTAAGGTCATTACCATCTTCTTCTTCTTCTTCTTCACCAGTAGTTTCAGCCAAGATGTTTTTTGGCTGTGTCTGCTTATAAGCTTTGTTTTTTTAAAAAAAGTATTAATTAATATAGTATTAACATTAATCATATAAATCTCATTTCAACATTCAACTTACCATTTCCAATCCATTGTGGATCGCCTAATTTTTTAAAAAAGCATTTAGGATATTTTATAAAAAATAAAAAATAATCATTGATCATTAATAAATGACATATCTTCTTTCTAACAAGATAATGCATTTCCTAGTTCTCCTTTTGACGGATTCATCATCTGAAATTAAAGCTCCGAGATGACTCCGATCTGGAATTAAATTTTTCCAGCTTGGATCCATTTTAAAAGCTATGGGTGCAAAACTTTATCAGAATACATGATTATCCATTATATACAACTAAGTGTTATTTGTTATTTCTGCTACCTTTTACTTTTGTATATTACCGCATGACTTCAAAAGATGGGTACTTTTGAACCTGTCACACATACACATCTCATGTGATTTTGGTTCCTCTCTTTAAAAGCTGCTTTTTTACTATGATACTTGAAGGCATTAACTTTGAAAAACCACGCGTTAGATATTGTGTAAAGTTTAACAACGTAGCAGTATTGTAGTTCAACTATAATAACCTGGGGTCCTGCTTTGTGATAATTGTTTTAAATAAATTTTTTTTTATATCCATCACTAACATTATAAAAAATGAATCCATCACAATACAAACAACACGGAAA